CACCACTGCGGGACGCAGGGCCCCGCTGCCCCCGCGGACCCTCAGGCAGCCCAGGCCGCCTCCTCCGCCCCGCGCCCCGCGGGCCCTCCCCCTCGCCACGTCTGCCGGCCGGGCCGGGCGCTCACCCCAGGCGCTCCCGGCTCTCCTCCGGGCTGAGCTGGTCGAAGCTCCGCGCCTCCTCCTTGCCCAGGAAGGCCTCGTGGTCGTACTGGAAGCCGGGCCGGTCCTCGTGCGGCGCGGCTCCGGGCCGGGCCCGCTCCGGCCGCGCCATGGGCTTGCCCAGCGCGCCCGCCGCCAGCAGCAGCAGCAGCAGCGGCAGCGCCCTCAGCGCCATGCCCGCCGGCCCGGCTCCGCGGCCCCGCTCGCTGCCCGCCCGGCCGGCACCGCCCCGGCCCGGCCCGCTCCGCCCCGGCCCGGCTTTGGCAGCGCGCCCGGCCCGGCCGCGCCACGTCCGCACGGGCCCGGCGGCGCCGCGGCTGCGGCGGGGCCGCTCCGCTCGGGCAGCGCCCAGCCGATGAACACCGCGGCCGCGAAACTGCGGCGCGGGGCTGTCCCGCCGCTGCTGCTCGTTCGTCAGGGCGCCGGGCTGATGGTGGTTGCTGCTGTCATCCCGAATCGCTCGGGAAAGAACACAAACACACCGACCCCTGCACGCTGTCTTGAGTGTTGGTTCCCCAAAAGTGTGAAGGGGAAAGGTTGCCAGCACTCTCACGAAGGATATTTATCAAGATGGGGTCACCGTCACTGTCACTTTTAAGGGAACCGAACTTGGGATCCTGAAAATGTGGGACGGGGGGGAAAGCCCAAACCATAGAGCAAAGAAAAAAGTTCTGGGTTGTTTTTGCCTAAAGTGAGATTGATTTTGTTCACAGTTGTGAAAGTTTCTAGGCAGAGGTAATTGATTCCTTTTCCCAGTATGATTCTTTTTCCTGTGTCACAGGCGTCATTCACAACTCGAAAAACGGAGCGTAGAGAAGATTGTCATTGTGCGCAGCCATTGCAGGATAACGACCCTGCTGCTAAGGGCTGCTGTGGTGAACTGTCTCCACCACCGAGGCTGGTTTGTCCACTGTTACTTTGGTCCTGAGGGTGTTACTATTCCAAATTGCAGCAACTGGTTTGTCAACCCAGCCCACAGGGCGTATAAACCACGTCTGATGTGGCCTTTGGGTGTACTGCTAATACGGATGTGCAGGATGCTGCCCCAGACCACAGCTTCCCCCTGTGCTGTTGTTACACGGGTAGAACTCCTTTTGACCTAAACCTCACACATAGCTGAGCTGTGCCTGGTTCAGGATTTGGTTGTAATGACCGCAGAAATGTGATGGAGAATTCCACGTGTGCTGTCCTCTGCCTTTTGTGACTCGTGCAAAGAGTGAATGAGAGCCGTGCGGGGCTAGTGCTGGTTTGCCTCAGAGCCATTGGCAACAACAGCACATTTCAAACGTGTAAACAGTCAGCTATGCTGGTTTGTTACTTAATTAGACAGAGAGGAGCACTAATGCGCTCCCTGGAGCTCAGTCACACGAGCTGCCCGGGGGGCCCAGGCAGTCTGTCCTCTGGGGCTGTTTGTGCATCCACAACTGAGCAACTGCTTCCGTGCCGTTTGGTGAGAGCTCTGATGTGCATGTGGCAGCTTGAAAATGGCTCAGCTGATCAGACCAGCTGTGTTTGAGTTTCCAAAGCTAGTGAGATGTAATCCTTCTGCTGTGTTTCGGTTTATTTGTCTGTTATTAAGCATCTGCCTTCAAAACCAAGTTTTTGTTAACGTATTCAGGAATCTCATATTTGTGCAATAATTCAGATATGGCTCTTTTTTGTGAATCCAGCTTCTAATATTCCTGTCTCTGCTTCCTACATCTATAATATTGTTATTAACGTTATTCCAGAGCTGGGTTTGTGCTGAATTTTTAGCTTGCATATCCACAAGTGCCAGAATGTGCTGCTAGTTAAGAGACACGTCATTTGCATGGGTAACAGGTGGGCTTTACTGCCCATTCGCCTTATCAGTGTTGTAATGAAACATCAGCTTGATGCTTGATCTTAGCAGCAGAGGGATATGAAGTTATTTGAGGGATGTGGGAAATGAATTTCTATCTTTTGTTGTCAGAACAATTTGGAGGCATTTCTGTGAGGAGAGCTACAGTAAGAGCAATGCAGAATGGGCTAAGTGCATACATGGTCGTTCACTGGAAAGCCTCCAGACACAGGGAGGCTTTGCCTCAGGGATATGGGTTCTGCCCGTCGGAACATTTTAATTTTGCCCTGTGTTTGGGTTCCAGTGAGAACGAGCCCTGAAATGCAGTGGTCTTATGAAAGATGGGAAAGTGTCCTGATCCCTCCAGACTTGGTTCGGGACCATTGGTAAGAACAATAAAGATTTGATTGATCCAATATGACTTTTTGTGGGAAAGGAATGATATTGCAATTACTTGTCCTTAGAAGGCTGAAGTCTGAGATGGTAATGCTGAGGATAGGCTGCACATTCAATCAGAACAGTTGTTGATCTGGTCAGTCTTAGCATTGCCAGATCTTTGTATCACTCACATGAACATTTACAGATTTTGCTGTTGGGCTGTCGTGACCTTGAAACCTCTGTGATCCGGTCCCCTGAATCTCAATCCTCTGTGAAGATATGCCTTCGACTCATGCCATGAAGACATGCCTTTTACTCAATGAAAAAAACGGTAGTTTTCTCTTAAGTCCTTTATCCACAATGCCCGTTCCTTAAAATATTTCTATTTTCTGGTTTGGAAATATTACTTCGAACATCTCAGAGAAACTCACTGCTTGTGAGTGATTCATTAGTTTTAGATTTTTGGGGGCTATTTTCACCATCCCCACTTCTTTCAATAATGCATCTGAGTTTTATACACATAAGGTTTCTTTGAAATATTGCAAAATACCAGATCTGCAACATCGACAATGTTTTTTAGCAATACATTTATGCAGGAGCAGGCATGCTGGGTAGTTCATAAGCTTTTAATGAAATGCTGGCAGATATTAGGGTTTTATGGGCTGGAAAACAGTGCAAATCGAAGAGCTTTGCTTACTGTTTATAGCATTTTTCCTCTGAATCTAACAATATTTATCTCACTTTTTCCATTTTTAGTTTCGCTCTTCACATATTTACTTTCCCTTTCACTGATATATTTAAAGCCAACAAACTATTTTGTATGAAATATATCTAGAGTTGCAATCCTTGTGTCACCGTGGGCATCCAGTCACCAGGATAAAGCCTGAGATTATTTATTTCACATCTCTCTTTGTCTTCTGTCTGCCCTTATCCTAATGAAGTTACACATATATTGCATCTTTAGCCATTGTTTCTGGATATCATTAATTGTGACTTCCCTGAGGCCATGCAAATGGTTCCTAAGGGCTGCTGTGCTTTCTGAGTGCCTGCTCGCTCATACCTGTTCTTGTCACACTTCTGAGGCTCTTCTCAGAGCATACCTCTATCACTATGTTTTTCTAGTTCTGTCTGCTTAAAGTCAAAATATTTTATGGCATTATAGTATTCAGGTACTACTAGGAGGTAAAAATATATGCCTGAGAGAAGCAGATGATTTCTAAGTAAACAAAAGAACTTGTTTTTAAGAGAAACTACAAATGGAAAATATGACATTTTTCTCCTCAATTCTACTGTAGTTTGTAAATCTGAAATAATAGCAATATTTCTCTGTACATGGAAAATATGGTTGGTATGAATGGATATGAGACTTGTGTATCCCATCTCAAATTAAATTATAGAAATGTATTTTGTGCTTTTCAGAATTATATTTTACATTCCAGTTAGCCTAATATGGTTTATTCAGGTCACAGTGTCAGCACTATTTTTAAAGCTTTTTCTTTTCCTGAGGATGCAGAACACCTAGTTCAAACTTGTTGGAAAGTTTTAATTGACACCAATAGACTGCAGCTCAAGCTGTTTGTTTACAGTGCAGCTGTATTTTATTTGAAATGTAACAGTATCAGTATGATACTGAGAATGAGCTTTAATGTCTAATTTACTTTGTAGGACATAGCATTATATACTCTGTATTTTTACTCTCATCCAGATTCTGCTGGGTGTTAATTGCTCTCCTCAGCTTGGATGTACAAGTGCAGATGGACTGTAACTTTTTTCTCAGCTCCCATGGGAAACCACTCAGAGCAGATCAGATCCCAAACTGCAAAGAGCAGCAGAAACTTTGCAGGAGAAGAAATAGGGGAAATTACAGAGAACCATTTTGATTAGACTTAGTTTTGGCTTGTCCTGACTAGCTGCTTCATCACAACACCCTATCTCTTGTCTTTTTCTTAACACGGGTATAGTCTACATCACTCTCTCTCCTCCTTCTCTTCTGTTCATCTTTTTGTGCCTAGTTGCCAGAAGAAAGTTTCATTACATAATCTACCAAAAATAATCATGGCCTGTGCTATTAACAAAGCTGATAAACTCATTTGCTCTGTCTGCTACACCTCTTCTCCTTCTCTATGCCTTTCTCATCTGCTTATACCTTAAACCCTTTGGCAGGGATTTCTACTATTCCTGTTGATTGGTTTCTGCTTACTACTACTGGTGACATGCTGCTGATTTTCTACTGAGCCTGTGCAGTGTCTTTCTTCACTTGGACATGGTTAGACTCATCCTTAAGGTATCAATAAGCATAGCTAACAGCAATTTTGGAGCACTCCTGAAGTTTTTCTTGTATTAGGAATCTTCATGATCAGTAGTTTTTTTCAAACATGTACATTTTCAAGTGTATAAAAAGATCCTTTGCTTCTGACAGCGTGAATCCGTGTGCTGTATGTTCAATTTGCCCTGGTAATTACTTATGTATGGTGATAACCATAGCAACATCCCAGGTAGATAATGGCATGCAAATTACTGCAGCTCCAGGGATGGGAGATATTAATACAGTAGGTACTTGCACCCCTGGTCTTCAACATTTTGCAGTGACTTTCCCTTTCCCTCCTGCAAAACATGTTGGTTTAAAATTTCCTTTCCTCCCTATGATCAGGAAGCAAAAGAAAACCTCTTGCTATGTTTCTCATTGGTATTCACAGAGGGAGGGAGGAGGATGGTCCTTCAATGTTTCTGTCATGAATAATTTTGTATCACAGTGGAAATTCCACTGTGTATGTAGGGCATAAAAGTCTAGAGACTTGGATACACTGCTGGGGCGTGTTGTGCTTAAACCCAAGTTCCTGCATTTGCAAACACGGAGTGTGAGCACGTGGGGGTGGAATTGCAGCCACAGATGTTTGGGCTGAGTGTAAACGTCCTCAAATCAGGTACTGAAGATATGGGAGAGGAGCTTTGTTGCTCAAAGCAGACACTGCTGTAGCTGA